ATGGCAGTAAACTATTCAATTAAAATGATGTTTTTTTTCGTTTTGTAATATCACTAAAGGTTGATTGTTAAGTCAAACATTGTTTAAAACAAAACAAATTTGTCAGAAATTTTTATTTTTTTTGAATTAAAAAAAAACTTTCAATTTTATGACGGCTGACAGTTCTTTGTTTTAGTACAGATATGTAGTTATATGTATTTATAGTGTTGTGTCTGTACGTAGTCTATATGCAAGGAAGGCAGAGATGTTGCAGTAAAGTATCGGTCACTTACGACAAGTTATGTGTGTACGTGATGTGAGATCCAATGGCAAGCCAAAGACTCCATACTGTCTATTTATAAGCTTCCCAAATACTGTAATGAACATATTTATGTTATATTTATAGTGTTGTGTCAGTACGTAGTCTATATGCAAGGAAGGCAGAGATGTTGCAGTAAAGTATTGGTCACTTACAACAAGTTATGTGTGTACGTGATGTGAGATCCAATGGCAAGCCAAAGACACCATGCTGTCTGTTTATAAATACTGTAGGGAACATAATAATATTATATTTATAGTGTTGTGTCTGTACGTAGTCTATATGCAAGGAAGGCAGAGATGTTGCAGTAAAGTATTGGTCACTTACAACAAGTTATGTGTGTACGTGATGTGAGATCCAATGGCAAGCCAAAGACTCTCTGCTGTCTGTTTATAAGCTTCCCAAATACTGTAACGAACATATTTATGTCATATTTATAGTGTTGTGTCTGTACGTAGTCTATATGCAAGGAAGGCAGAGATGTTGCAATAAAGTATTGGTCACTTACAACAAGTTATGTGTGTACGTGATGTGAGATCCAATGGTAAGGCAAAGACTCCCTGCTGTCTATTTTCAAGCTTCCCAAATACTGTAACGAACATATTTATGTTATATTTGTAGTGTTGTGCCTGTACGTAGTCTACATGCAAGGAAGGCAGAGATGTTGCTGTAAAGTATTGGTCACTTACAACAAGTTACGTGTGTACGTGATGTGAGATCCAATGGCAAGGCAAAGCTTTCCTGCTGTCTGTTTATAAGCTTCCCAAATACTGTAATGAACATATTCATGTTATATTTATAGTGTTGTGTCAGTACGTAGTCTATATTCAAGGAAGGCAGAGAGGTTGCAGTAAAGTATCGGTCACTTACAACAAGTTATGTGTGTACGTGATGTGAGATCCAATGGCAAGCCAAAGACTCACTGCTGTCTATTTATAAGCTTCCCAAATACTGTAGGGAACACAATAATGTTATATTTATAGTGTTGTGTCTGTACGTAGTCTATATGCAAGGAAGGCAGAGATGTTGCAGTAAAGTATCGGTCACTTACAACAAGTTATGTGTGTACGTGATGTGAGATCCAATGGCAAGGCAAAGACTCCCTGCTGTCTATTTATAAGCTTCCCAAATACTGTAATGAACATATTTATGTTATATTTATAGTGTTGTGTCAGTACGTAGTCTATATTCAAGGAAGGCAGAGATGTTGCAGTAAAGTATCGGTCACTTACGACAAGTAATGTGTGTACGTGATGTGAGATCCAATGGCAAGGCAAAGACTCCCTGCTGTCTGTTTATAAGCTTCCCAAATACTTTAGTGAATACAAGTAATGTTCTAACGTAGTTTTACAATGACAGAGAACTTTGTTTAGAAGAATGTAAGCATTTCGAGGTATTTAAGGTGGCATTGTTGATGGTCCTATCTTATCTGTCTAGGAGAGATTATTGTTCACTATAGTTACTCAGTTAAAAAAAAAATAAATAAATAAGCTGTTCGAGAAGATTGGTTGGGTTAGGTTAGGTTTGAACAGTGTTATCTATTCTAACCCAACATAACCAACCAAGCTTTCCGAACAGCTTAAATGCAGTAGTTATTTTACTATGTTGTGTGTTCTTTTTTTTTAATTTATATAGCGTGTAATCAAAAACCCTTTAAAAATATTGTATTTTTCATTCTTTACAACCTATAAAAGATTTCAAGAAGTTAAACAAATGTAATTAGAAAATTGAGTCGTGGGCACGTAACGGATTTTTATCAAATAGTTATATTCAACAATTACATAACAAGTAAGAAATTAATTTCAACAAATATTTTATGCGTAATTCAATTCGAAGACAACAAGCAGCGGAAACACAAACGGAAGTGTGAGAAGCTACACACGTGTCTTCCTGTGACGTTTCCTTCGGTGGCAATTTCACAATATGCCCTTCTAAGTCTTGAATTTATTGAGGTTATGAAGTGGCATAATTTGAATTTGCATTGCTACATATTTTAGTTAACCATGGTCATAAACTAATAATTCCCTGTATTTGTTACTGTTATGAGTATTCATGGAAACATGACTCACAGTGGATGCATAGTAACTGGCATTTAGAATAATTAAGAATTTTTTTACTGTGTAAAACTCTTTTTGAGTTGACGATAATACTTGCCACTTGTCATTGCTGATCATTATTATGCTAACATCAGAAACAAGAAAGGTCTTGTTGTGCCGCTGCCTAATTCTTAATTTGCTAATAATTTTCCCCTCTTTAATTTTTATGAACCAGTCAAATAATTTTTCCCTAAATAGGTTCAAAATAAAGCACATAAAGTTGTATCCAACCTCTGAATTTGTTTTCCTCTAAGGTGACAATATTTCAAAACTTTATTAAAATCTGCCAACGACATGTTTGTATTAATACAGCTGTTTATGCGATAGCAGTAAACCCAGTATTCATAACGTGTATTTTGAGTTTAATGATTGGTTTTCAATCATTTAGAGAATGAATTACCTAGTAGTCGAATAAGAAAAAGTATTTTTGGAGTTCCTGGAGCTGTCCAGCTGATAACAGTAAACCTCAACAGTTTAAACACCCACTCTTATTCTTTATAAACTTGTAAAGTTGACGAGCTATTTTATTGCTAAGCATTTCAGCGACCCTAAGTTCTTGTGTGCCACACTCTAATATTTTTTCTATGGTAGGAAAGACCGCTTTTAAAAATAAATGAAATTGTACGCCAGTTATAAAATAGTTGACTTAATTGCTAACAAAATAGTTGATTGAGCAAGCAGTTCTGCGCCATGGATGTTCTAGTACAAATAAAATATTGACTTATTTATTACTGAAGGATTATTTAATGAATACTAGTAAAACGCAGGCCGCGAAGGGAGCGAGTAAGGGTTTCAACTCAATTACAAACCCCCGAGATGGCCTAAATAGATTACCATTTAATCTACCTCCCTGTTAATGCCTTAAAATAGTTTACGCTGAAAATGTAAATATCGTAGTAGAATTTTAAACGGAAATCATATCTTTTCAAAAGAAAGTGAGACAAATCAATTATTTGTTTTTAGTGTAAAATATTTTAAACGTAAAATATTGTCCTGAATCGCCTTATTTAAATATTTATTATGCTAAAAATGGCTGTACCAAATTATTATTTTAATAGTAAAGGTACATAGAAATAGTAAGAATCCAGTGTGAAAGCTTCATGATCAGCTTAGAAAAAGAAATTAGCTGTATTCATCACATTAGGTAATCTTAGAGCATATTTATAACGTTATAAGCTATTAATACAGATATAATTATATACACACAAAATATCGTTTGTTTGAATGCGTCGACAAAAATCCTAGACGTTAAGAGTATACAAAAAGTTATGAGTTTACAAATAACTTGGTTGGTTAGCTGTAATAAATTTGCAAGGGCAATTACTTAGAATTCTTAATAATATAAGAAATATTCTCTGTACACAAACCTTATATAAAATCTGCCTGGCCAAATCTAAGATGATTTCATGGGTTGAGAATGTCAAGTGTATTAAACAACAAATCTGCAGCTGCTATTTCTCTAACCTCTACCGCAGCCTAGAGGGGTTGGCGATGGTGTTTTAGTGATCCCTCCGCTGTCACGTACAACCATAACTAACTGTAAGTAACCGATACTTTACTGCAACAGTCTAGAACTGTATGGTGCTTATCGAGTTTATTGAATATTTGATACGAGCAAAGCTTTACAATTATGTTCATATAAAGTGTTGTCGATTAATTATGAAATCAGTAAAATACAAAAGAACTAATTGAAATAAAAATGATAAATAAATGTATAATAGCATTTAATAAAATAAAATAAAACTTTATGTACGGCTTGCTTAGGTTAAATGCATTGGAAGTAATCGGAGCTCTTGGTAAATTATTTGCCTTAACTAATGATAAACCAAGATATATAAATTTGTGAACAAATGTGATATTTGATCAAATAAAACAAACCTTTGCTAAATAATCAAAATGAATTTACTAAAATCATTTAATCGTTCGTAGTCTAAGATTCGCAAACCTGTTGAGAAAAAGATAAAATATTGTAAGCTTCTTTTACAGGACTTGCTTTAAAGTGATAATTTGCAAATTATTGATGACGAAGCAGCGAAGGCTTATGATAAATTGATATAGACACCGTGTACTGCGTAAACAGAATAAAAACTACATCTATAAAGATAATTGTAATATTATATTACAATTCAGCTTAATTGTTTTTTATTTTTTCTAAAAAAACATACTCTTTTGAAAAATAACAATATACAAAACAAAGATTTTCACGTTATGTAATTTAGGATTACAATAGCAAACATTACCATAGTTTTCAGAGTGTTAACAGATCAATTAAAATCGTTAAGTGTGCCATTGATAAAATATAACCAGTTATGAGAGGTAAAATAAAGTGACGCTCTCCCACGTGAGATGTGGATGAAGTGTTCGTCTTTAAACGTAGCTGTTTGACAGCTGAAGAGCGTCGTTTCAACCGTGAAACCGGAAATCGCTGACATCCTGACTGACTCAGTCGAGCGTTAACGGCGTCTCCTTCTCCATCTGTAAATGTGTAGAACACTCTACAGTAATCTGTTAAACGTAGTATTTTCCTAAAAATCATTTGAAACTTACTTCTTTAAACCCATTGTTATCTATCTCCTATCGAAGGATGTATTCCCGACGAGGTTAGATCAGGATTTTCCCATACGAGGTTTGAACGGGATATTTCCCCTACAAGGCTTGATCAGGATGTTTCCCATACGAGGTTTGATCAGGATGTTTCCTCTACGAGGTTTGATCAGGATGTTTCCCATACGAGGTTTGATCAGGATGTTTCCTCTACGAGGTTTGAACGGGATATTTCCCCTACAAGGCTTGATCAGGATGTTTCCCATACGAGGTTTGATCAGGATGTTTCCTCTACGAGGTTTGATCAGGATGTTTCCCATACGAGGTTTGATCAGGATGTTTCCTCTACGAGGTTTGATCAGGATGTTTCCCATACGAGGTTTGATCAGGATGTTTCCTCTACGAGGTTTGATCAGGATGTTTCCTCTACGAGGTTTGATCAGGATGTTTCCCATACGAGGTTTGATCAGGATGTTTCCTCTACGAGGTTTGAACGGGATATTTCCCCTACAAGGCTTGATCAGGATGTTTCCCATACGAGGTTTGATCAGGATGTTTCCTCTACGATGTTTGATCAGGATGTTTCCCATACAAGGATTGATCAGGATGTTTCCCATACGAGGTTTGATCAGGATGTTTCCCTACGAGGTTTGATCAGAATCATATAGGTTTCCCTTGACATCATATAGACAGCCCACCTCTCAGAAGGCCTCATATGAATCCGTAACAGAAGCAATTTGTAACATATTTACTGGGAAAAGAAACGTCATAATTATACAAACGAACAAAGTTTAATTCAAAATCACAACATCCAGTAATTCTTAATTGACAACAATGTATATACCCATGTTTTAATGCTGTAAAAAATGTATGGCCGTTAAACATGAAAATAGTACTATTCATTGGGGTTGAAAATAGTATAATGCATTTTGCATCAAGTTATTTTGTTGGTGTTAAAAATTCATTTTAGTAAAACATCTAACTTTGCTTATTAAAAATTGAAAATGAAGGACAATTATTATTTGAATTGACACAGCCTGTTAAAAGAAAGGTTTAGAAAAAATGAAAAAATGCTGTTTTAAGAAGAAACTTCTTGAAATGGTAAAAATTACGAAGTTGCAAAGTCGTTATCTACCGCCTGACAGGGCAAAGAATCCAATAACAAGGTACTTGAGGAAGACATATCACTTTGGATACATGTGACTGTTTGTCTTTCATTGTCTCAAGCGAAACAAAGCTATGTCTTATGAATGCAAGCAAACATGATATTGTAATTTTGGATGAATAAAAACAATCTTACACTCGATAGAAAACAATAAAAAAAACACAGAAACACTTATTTACAATGTATTACTACCCTTTTTAATATTCTTAAACAGACTCCACGCATAAATAAGTAAAAGCCTATGAAATATCCATCCATAATGTAATTTTGCTACTTTTAGAATTCAGTTTAAAATTTTTGTAAAATATGCGAATATTGAAGACACTTTTTGATGCAACTTCTATAGTTAAACGTCAGTAGTTGGAAATGTAAAATACGTGCCATGTATTCTCTCAAATAAATTACAAAACAGAAAACATTTAAAAAACAATTTTTGTTGAAAAAGTTAGTAAGAACCAATTGTGTTTGATTTTGGTTTCGCAGTAGATTACGCACTACTATATTTTATAAATACAGTGTGTAAATTAAGTATGGAAACAAATCTGTATTTTTTAAACCAAAATAGATAGAAATATTTGGTTTGTGGCATTGACTGTTAACCAAGGTTCCGGAATTTTTTGCATCAGAAAAAATTTTTCACCCCCTCAGGGGGGGTAGGGGTAGGGGGTAACTTAATTTTTTTAAATAGCAACCCCTATTGAGTGACCTCTCATTTTGAAGGGTTTGTCAAAAGAAATACAATGCCGTAAACCTGAGGTCGATATCTTACCCCTAACCAGAATGGCGGCCATTTTAAATTTCGAGATGGGCAAACGAAATCCAGTGTGGATACCCATAATTTACCTTTTAAATGGGTTACATTGGGTAAGCCGAACTCCAGATACCATTATTAGATTGAAAATTGGATGTTTTTATCGTATTCAAAATTTTGCCCCAGCCCCGTGCAGAATGATAAAAAATCCGTTTATCCTAAAATAAATGGTGGTCAAGAACCAAATGTCAATTAATTATGTTTATAATTATGTAATAAAATTATAAAAAGACATTTTATAAAAATTATTATAGTAATTAAGTAAGAGAGGAAATTATGAAATAGTAAATTGAAATTTTAGAAATAATTTAAGTAGCTTTGGTTATCTCAGCTCCTTCGAAATGCAGATGCACAACGTAGTTTAAAAACGGTTTCTAACTTGGGATTTCCCATTTACCCTTTCTTATCAGTAGCTGTTTGGGTTTCTAAAGGATATTCTTTCGATAATGTTTCATCTACTCATTCTGGTTTAGTTAATTTTGTAGAGAGAGGTGTATTCAAGTGCTTCTGTAGTTTTGTTTAACAATGGTTCTTTTAAGTACACAGCAAAAAAATTGACATTCTCCGCATTGTTGGGTATGGGGATAGGTCACGTACATATCAAGAAACTTGTGAGTTATTTAATGAACTGTACCCAGATCATCAAATAAACCGATCTACGGTAAGTAAGATCTGTACTAAGTTCTTGGAAACAGGGGATGTAGCAAATAAAGCTAAAACTGGTCGACGTAAATCAGTTGTAACAGAAGACATGACACTGAATGTGCTTTTGAGTATTCAAGAAAATCCCATTACATCTACTCGTCAGCTCGGTAGTAATCTAGGTTTAAGTCACACTTCGGTTCATAAAGCTCTGAAAGCCGAAAAATTTCATCCTTATAAGGTACAGCTAATTCATGAATTGAACGAGGATGATTTTGATCGTCGAATTCAATTTTGTGAAGAAATGATGCAGCGGTGTATCCAAGATCCGTTATTTAAAACAAAAATAGTATTTTCTGATGAAGCCTCATTCAGCCTCAATGGACACGTCAATAGACAAAACTCGAGGTACTGGTCTGATGAAAATCCACATTGGGCTCAAGAATGCCATACACAAAACCCTCAGAAGATTAACGTTTGGGCAGGAATAGTTGGATTTAGGGTAATTGGACCTTTTATAATTGAAGGTAATTTAAATGGTGATCGTTATCTGGACCTGTTGCGCGAGTCTATTGTACCCGCTATTTCAAGAGAGTTTCCTCCTGAGGATGAAGAGCATGCCGTGGATGAAAGTATTTGGTTTCAGCAAGATGGCGCTCCACCCCACTTCGCTGTAAATGTAAGGGACTATTTGGACCAGACTTTTCCAGATCAGTGGATAGGTAGAAGGGGTTCCATAGAATGGCCTGCAAGATCTCCCGATTTGTCCCCTTTGGATTATTTTTTATGGGGATATCTTAAGAGTAAAGTGTATGTAAATCGACCAGAAAACTTACAAGAGCTTTCAGAAAGGATTCTGGCGGAAGCACGGGCAATTGATCAGCAAACAATTGGCAGAGTATTAAACGAATTTTACAATCGCTTAGGACTTTGTCAAGTTGCTCTTGGCCATCAATTCCAACATCTATGAATTATTCAGGTAATAGCAGCAAACATTACTTTAATAGTAATACCTTTTGTCTGTGTGTGTGTTTTACAGTATTAAATTAGTTTTATTATGTGTTATTATTTATGATGTGTATTATTTGTGCTCTAGATTATTTATTTCCTGTCTTATCTGTACTTCAAACAATTCGTTTGTGACAGGTTTAGCGGTACAAAAGCTATAAAATGACTGATCACTCAATAGGGGCTACTATAACAGGCATTCAACATTTTTAATTGGTGAAATGGGCGCTTTTTTACCCAATCAAGTTTTTGAATGCCTGCCATTTCGTCTAGGGATGACATATCGACCTAAGATTTGTGCCACTGCTTTTGTCTTGACAAACCCTTCAAAACGAGGGGTCACTCAATAGGGGTTTGCGTTTAAAAATTTGGGGCTGCCCCCAAAATCCCCTATTTTGGGGGCTGGGGCAAAATTTTGAATACGATAAAAACATCCACTTTTCAATCTAATAATGGTATCTGGAGTTCGGCTTACCCAATGTAACCCATTTAAAAGGTAAATTATGGGTATCCACACTGGATTTCGTTTGCCCATCTCGAAATTTAAAATGGCCGCCATTCTGGTTAGGGGTAAGATATCGACCTCGGGTTTACGGCATTGTATTTCTTTTGACAAACCCTTCAAAATGAGAGGTCACTCAATAGGGGTTGCTATTTAAAAAAATTAAGTTACCCCCTACCCCTACCCCCCCTGAGGGGGTGAAAAATTTTTTCTGATGCAAAAAATTGCGGAACCTTGGTTAACAGTCAATGCCAAAAACCCAATATTTCTATCTATTTTGGTTTAAAAAATACAGATTTGTTTCCATACTTAATTTACACACTGTATAGAATGTTTAGTTATGTAAACAATCCAATTATTAATACTAGCTTTAAAGTTAAGCGCGAAAAACATGAAAAGCAAAGAAATACTAAATAGTGGTCTAACCGCCAGTAAAGTAAAGCTAGCCCGTGAGAGTTATAGTCGAACGTGTCTAAGCCAACGACTATTGAAAATTCGTCTCGGGGCAAGTTTTATTTTCGTCTCTCTTATTCTTGAATTCCCGACACTGAGATGATGTCAGTGTTCTAGGATTTCGTCAAATCGAACAAATTCTCTTACATATCTTTTGTTATGTGACAGGATTACTGAACTTAATAGCTATGTTTTAATTAAATAAATATAATGTATAACGAACGATACTAATTTTCACACTAAACGATTTTAAGTTTTCCATTAACCTGAAAGTGAAGAATCACAATAAAAAATAAAAAAATTGTGTTTGTAATCATAAACTAACACTATTGCGATAGTATTATGTCTTAATGAGCCAGGGGTGCATAAATAAAATTAGAATTAACACCTTCTCACATATTAGTGACAGTAAATTAAATATTTATTTGTCACTCAACATTTAAAAAGCTTATTATCACTGTATAGTAGGGTAAATAACAAAATCTTAGCAACCTATTGTTTAGTGAGATTTTCACGAAGTATGTCTACACACGAATGCGATGATTAAAAAGATTACACCAAAGTTTAAAAGAAAGATGTTTGAAAAATATGTGTTTTTACTAAGTAAAAAAGTACATATTTTTAATGGTGGATTGTAAATTGAAGAATGCAGGCCCAAAAGTAAGGACGAGAGCTGGTTGGTAGAAAGCCTTTTACAGGATTGTCGGGTGAATAAACTTCCGTCCTTTCCTATCGATTTACCTTATCGCTGCCGGAGCGAGTGACTTTCTGCCTCAAATCACACCTTGTAATAATAAAATGCATTGTGAATTTATTATATTTTCAAGTGTTCGAAATTAAACTTATAACCAACATAAAACTCATATGAATTGTTGCAAACGTAAAATAATTTTGTTTAACTAATTATATTATTGTTTCTGTCTGGTCTCGATTCGCTTAGGTCAATGAGGGGTAGGTCGAGTATAAACAAGATGAGGTTAGAAAGAATATAATATACTTACGATGTTAAGGTTGTTAGAGATAATAAGCTGTGATG